AAATCCTATATTACACAATCCACAAATGTATACCTAAGTGAGCGCCAAAACCTCAGGGCAAATGTGTAGAATCAGAGGCATGAGTGATTAATAACCCATTAGTGCTCATTTTTGGCTTCATGTGGGGAATAAATGACTAACCTGTCAGCCCTACTCCTCTCTTAGAGCACATCTGTTGGCCTCCTCAACAGATATGAGTTTATACAAGCTGCTGGAATGGTGCCACCCTACACTCAAGGTCGGTCTTTATCCCTGCTTTTGGACAGGCAGGTGAGGGACACCAGCCCTTAGGCAACAATATTGTGACCAAAAAGAAATCCACCAGCCTCCCCTGGATATATGACAGGAAGCCTCTGGGGGGATTAAATACAGCAAGGTAATGCCACAGGGAAGAACCTGCCAAGTTGTTGATAATCATGACGCTGCCCGTGTATTGGAGTTAAAAGAGTGGCCACCTCCACTTAAACATCCTGGGTCCAATCACCTGTGATATGCCCTCTTTGTTCTTATGGCAATCCTCAGAGCTGAGGTAAACATAAAGTAATTTAAGCCCCGTCTCTTTCCTCTAAGGGCCATTTGTTAGCTGTGAGAGAGAAATCCCACTCCAAGCAACATATTGCACTATGTAGTTTTTACCCTAGTTGACCATGGCAGGAGACTCTACCTCAAAAACAACTGAAAAAGAGGCTGTCCTCCATTGCCCTTGTGTCTTGCTCATTTCTAACTAAAATGGGTCATCATCATTGGCAGATAAAAAAGAAAAATGGCCTACTTAGCCCTAATTCAGCTGCACATACCCCCTGCAACTACTTCCTGAACTGTAGCCAGTGTGAGGAGTTGACCCCAGACTGAGCAGAGCTGTAAGATCCCCTGAGTAACCTGAACTGGCAGCTATACCGACCTTTAAAAAAAATGTATTATAAGTGAAATGAAATGTTGCAAGAATACAAAACCAAAGAGCATGATGGAAAAGAGCAGACAGGCACAATGAGGTGAGGCAAGACTGAAAGCAAGGGAAGAGACAAAAGAGAGCCGGGAGAGGAAAAAGGCGAGACAGATAAAAAGGAATAAAGGAGAGACAAAGAGAAAGCACATTAGTGGGGGGAAAAAGAACAGGTGAAAGAGAAATGACAGAACGGAGTTAAGGTAATGATAGGGAGTATTAAAGGTAGAGAGAGTACATAAAAGGGAGAGAGAGTCTGGATTTGCATGTCAGTTAGTGTCTCCCTTTTTTTGTTAGGCCAGGGGTGAGCGGGGTAATAATGTGACCCATGTATCCGCTGATAGGAGATATTAAATTGAACTCAAGACAAACACACTCACTTCACCGTGATATGACCTTGAGGAGAAAATCAAATAAAAATGTCCACAGCAATAGTTGTCACTAAATGCTCCTCTGTAAGCAGGTGGTAATGTAAGAAGGAAAATGACAGAGCATGGTGGTCTCAGCTTTAAGCAACTAACATTGGTGTTTGAGAATCAACAGTGCCTCGCTGTTTCTTGCAGGTGAGAAACTGGCAATAGCCCTCCTGGTTCCGATGTGCCAAATAATGAAGGTAATTAGCTGCACAAGATAGATAGCCAAAACCTAGAGACCAACCACATTGTTCTGCAAAGAGATAATTAAAAAGCAATTGGCAAGAGATTTTGATACACTTCTATTATTACCTTGCACAGTAGAAAGAAAGACAGCAAATGAATGCCTGGCAGAGGTTCATTTCTTGGGAATGGTGTTTTTCTGTGGTTCAACCACCTGCCAGCTGTGAGAGTGTTCATGCTGTGCATTAAATGTGACTCAGTTGTCTCTTTATTTTGACTGAGGGACTTTTCAACATAAGTCAGTCTTGTACAGAAATCATGGGGAGATGTGGAACACAGAGGAAGCTACATGTGAACTAATCCCTTTTCAACAGCTATGGTCTTTTTTATTTACAGCTGTTATGCTATGTTGTTGAAATTATTTGTGTCTATTAAAGGAACAGTGTGTAGGGTTTAGTAGCACCTAGTGGTTTAAATGCAGATTGCAAATCCCTCACTTCACCCACCCCTTCCAAGAGCAATGGGGAAACTATGGTGGCCACGAAAAAACATGAACAGCCCTATCTAGAAAAACTAGTGTTTGGATTGTCCATTCTGAGCAAACATGGTGGTTCAATATGGCAGCTTCCATGGAAGGCAACCTGTGGCATCTGTAGATATAAAAGGCTCATTCTAAGGTGACAAAAACATAACATAGAAATACATTTATTTGCTTCCTTGCAGAGAAGATGAATACCACTGTACTGGAGACAGTTTTCGTAGCCTAAAGCATATATACTCGGTCGAAACAAAAAAGCCAATAAAAAACACTTGTACAGATTAAATAAACATATAATTTGCGCTTTAGAAGTGCTGATATACAACTTGCTATTTCCCCACCATTTCCACTCAGATGTAGGAGTGGTATCAATCTATATAACTCCCGACCAGAAAATGAACAAGCCCTATTTCTCAATCACAATGTCAAATTATTCCTTTGAGTAGCTTTATGGATAGAAAATCCATTACTTCACTTTGACTGACAGCATCATATATGTATATCATATATTTGCTTGTTCAAGTTCTTCATTTAAACTTTATAATGTTTACACTTTGTGAAATATTCAAACAATGAATATTTCACACAGTGTTTGTTTATGCCTGCACCATTCCATAAAATGAACATTTTCTAGACGTTGTGTGTGCATCTTTTCATATGTTTCCTCAACAGCCTGGTGTGTTTGGTGTAATTGGTAACTTTGGGATCTCCAATAGAATTTAAAATACATTTCTGTGGGTTTGGACAAGGTCTGGCTGCCCAACAGAGTTTGTAATGACTGACCCACTGGTTGGTCAGTGAGGTTATGGTTAAATATTCCACAAGTTCATCAATTTCCTGTTTAATGTTAGGCCATGTAATAAACCTCCCTCCTGCCAGAGGAATGTGAATGCATTGTAATCTTTACCTAGTCTCTTTCTTTACTACCACCACTGACCCACTTTTTCTTGCAAGCCCATGACCTTCCCTCGAGTAATAAAGCAAAAAATATCATATTTGTGAATTCCAAACAGAGGAAGTTAGAGGAAGAGGACAAGACTGTGGTTGTAGAAAAGGATAAAAAGGTGCAAAAAAGGGAAGAAAGAAAAAGGGTAAATATTAGAAAGATTGATGGACAAGGAACGGTGAGCTAGTTAGATAGATGCAGAGAGAAGAGAGAGATCTGATCAAACATTCAGGTGGTGTGGCCTTGTAAAAAAAAAAAAATCCTTGCCAATGAAGAATGCACTCAGCCTGGGATTTATTCATAGATGTATTTATAATGCATGCCCACAGAAGGAATGACTTCCCATGCATCTGAGCATAGCGTGTGTATGTGTGCACGCGTGTGTAGCCTATACATACCTGTGCAAACTGCAAGTTGAGTGTGTGTATGATTTCCTCCCATGTGCAGTCTGTCTGGGAGACAGGAAAAGTGCTGATTGATGAGAGAGCGTTTGTTTTAACGAGCCTCCGGAGTGGATTCACCTTGAGAGAGATTTGGTTTCTCACTTTACACAGCTTCTACTGCTGTCTGAAGATATCTGAAGCATACACCATCAGTCTACTGCGTGCATGTGTGTGTGTGTGTGTGTGTGTGTGTGTGTGTGTGTGTGTGTGTGTGTGCTCATGATCTTTGTTTACCTGTGTGTCTTTTGCTTGAATATGTTTGTGCAGAATGTGTGAGTTGTCTGATGGGCCTTTATTTTTGGTGCGGCCTGTGTGCTAGTGTGTAAGTCTAGCTGTTGTTTGGGCACATGTGTGAACTGAGTGAGAGGGTTTATTTCATTCGTGTCCTAAATATCATATGAATTAAAGTATGAACTGATTAATTAATTAATTAATTAATTAATTAATTAATTCAGCTATTTCTCCAGTGTGTGAATGTTTAGCAGCAGTCATGGTCTTTGGTCATATTCATTAAACATAAAAAAACATTGAAAAATGAAAAAGAATCACTCAAAATGAGTGATCATTTCAGTTTAGGTTGTTTGTTTGTTATGTGATGTTTAATATTTGATATTGATTCGACATCATCACAGTTGACCTCTACTATATTTTGCCGTAACACCAAAATTCAGTATTTAAAAAATTACATTTAATGTCACTAAAAAAAGAAAATACTGTACCTTTGTTATTTCAGCCAGATGATAGACACTATTTGGTGTCAGTTTTCAATCTCTCCCCTGTTTTTATCCTCCCACCAATGACAGCAGAGTGACTGTTCGTCTACCTTGCTGTACGTTATTTTAATAAGATCTAAGACCTGGTAGATCTCCCTGTGGAAGGGGATCAATTGAGCATCTAATTGGCTGACTGTTAACGCTCCATTAAACTAAATTAGAATTAAACATTAAAATGGTCTCCTTCAATAACACTCTCATCATATAGGAGTCAGTGGTGTTAATGCAGATCTAGTTAAGGGGTTCTTGACATTTTAAAGATTTTAAGGTTCACAAGTTAACCACATTAAACCAGCACACCCTGTTTTAGAAGATTTATTTCACTCCCTTTATTGGAAGAATTTAGTAGTTGTTTTGTTGATTTGATATTAAATTGGACATCTGTTCAGTATCCATGTTGTAATGGGACACATAATGATAGTTACGGTGAAGAGTGAAAGCAGTGCTTGGAATAGCCACTCTCGAATTACAATAATTTCCACTGAATGAACCGTCGACTGAAATTAAACTATTTCTCAATTTGCTGGAGAACCCTAGAGTCTCCTTTAAATAAACCCTCTGGGACTTCGTTTAAGAATCCCAGCTTCAGAGAAATGTCCAAAGAAAAAAAAAAAGCGTTTCCACTTTTGGCCTCCAGGTGTCGCCGTTACAGACTCCCGCCGCTCTCCGCTCCTGCTGCTGCTGAGCTCCCTGCACTCTCGTCGACTGTTTACAACATCAATGGCGGAAGTCGCTTCAGTCTGTGAGTTTTTACTGAACGTTTTACCAAGCATACCAATGACAGCTTTAACGTGCGAGGTCGGGTTATTAGCAGTGAAACATAGTGTCGGCGTGTGTGGTTGTTTTGGTCAGAATAGCGCGGGTTTATGTGTAAACTACGGGAAGCAGCCTGGGTCGTTTGCTCCACCGGTTTGCCCCGTATTAACGTTAGCTGAGTTGAAGGTGGTTCAAAGTGTGGGGGAAACTGAATGAACGGCCGCTGGTGAGGATGCCAAAGTCCGGTTCAGAGAGGGCAATGTTTCCTAATATGCTGAGCGGTGCTGTGTTGCTGTTGAAGGAGCTCAAGGTTCAGTTGTTTACCGATGTTATTGTTTTAGCATCACGAGTTGCTGCTTTCAGCCCACACATGCGTTCACACACACACACACACACACACACACACACACTTCTCAAAGTGTGGTCGATTATTCCTGGATTAAAAACACCAGCAGTGGTTGATGTGGGCTGCTGCAGTAAAACTACAGTCTGTTTTTTAACTTTACTTAAGAGAGTGCACAAGCTGTTAAAAATGAATAGTAATGGAGTGGGTATGTGTTAAACTACTTTATAGATCTTAGTGATTGACTTTTTATAATGTAATGGGGATAAGTATGACAAATAAATAAATAAATGATTACCAACTCACATCTATTTGAATTAATGGGACTGGATTAATGGTGTTTGGTTGTGGGGACATGAATGATTTTTACTTCATATTAAATGTTGACTTAATACTTACTATTTTGTTATCATGGTTGTGGAAAGTTGCCTCAATTTTCATATCAAATGGATTACATAATTCCAATTCATGACAGCTAAAGTTCAATTAATTAGTCAAATGATCTTAGCCCAGTGTAGTAGTGCAAGTACATACGTTAATAGTTGACATAAGCCTTTAACTTGGAGAAAGAAAAGACTTGGCTGGACCATGTGGATGTGGTAGGAGGGAGGGGAAGTATAAGCAGGTTGTTAAAAGTTCAGCCGAAGTTAGAAGAGTTTTTATTGTGACCATTATCTGTCGGCACTTTCTTTTCTCTCTCAGTCTTGGTTTGCTCTGTTCGACCATCTGGATTGTGAAGCGTAAAGGTGAGCAGGGGTGAGGTGTTGGCGAGGTGCATGATGTTTGATTTATGCTGTTGTTGTTCATGTATGTCTCAAAGTGGCAGAAGGAATACATTGTAATATACACGCACAGAGACGTTTTATGTTCAAATGACGTACAAGAACATGCAACAACGTTGTTTACAGATTATTTCATATATCATTCATGAAGCCATTTGAAATTTCAAGTTTACTGTTAAACTGACTAGTGTGCAGGGAAAAATACAATGAGCTGAGAATATGTGTGTCTTTCATTTTAGTTTAGAAACTGTTGCACATTCGGGTGTTAAGCCTTTTGGCAGGCAATGACTCTTTGCTATGTGTGTTATAAAATAGTTCACAATGTTTCATGCCTATATACTTGTAGAATAAAAGTCTAATCTTATTTTACCTGAAGACAGAGTGTCTTTGTTTTTTTCCTCCCTATGGTTGTCTGCACCACTTAATTTCAAGCAAGACATCCTGGATCTATTTTAGTTATCCATAAAACTGAGTGAAACTTGAAGCTCTTTATAAAGCAGTGATTATATGATTGCTTTCCAGTCATTTTCTTGATTAACTGATAATTACACTTCTCTCTGAAATATAACAAAATATGTTCATTACAATTTGCTGTTTCAGATTGCCACACATGCCTGACATTCATGTATTGTGTCAGTTAAAGCTGCAATGATCAGTCGATTAATCACAAATCAATTGAAAGGAAATCAATCTGCAACTGTTTTGGTAATCAATCAATCAGTTTGTGAATTCAAGTCAATTTAGTGTGATTTTTTTTTCATTGAAGAATGAATAACTTTGGGTTTTACACTATAAAATAAATCTGATCAAATCAAGGAGTACTTTGGAAAAATTTGAGGGGTATTTTTTGCTATTTTCATCTACATTTACATGCTTTTTAAGAAAATAATTTGCACATTAATCAGTAACAAACATCATTTTTTGTTGCAGCCCAAAAGTCAATATTGTGTCTGAGCGACCCAGTGAGCCAACCTTACTGTCACACGTGCGTGTTAGTGTTTGTGTTCAGTCTGCTTGTGTGAGGAGGAATAATTAGCCCAGAGGAAAGCTGGTGATAAACTGGGATTACAGACGAAGTTGGAAAATGAAATGACTTCCTTTGATCGGCTTATAACAAAAGGAAGGAAACAGAAGAAACGATAAAAGCAAGAATAGTAGCAACGGTGTCTGTCGCCCTGTCCTCAGTTCCAGGTGAGTCGGCTGATTGAAGACTGGGCTCCTGTGGATTCTGGCCATGGATGAAGAGTTGACGCCTTTGGACTGCCTGTTGCCCTCAGGTACTGTTTTTCAAACACACAGTCCCATGGCGCAAACGCACGTCCACACAATCAATCAAATACGCCGGTCCATGCTCAGACACATATGGTATGTTCGCCCACCAGCCACATCTCAGTGTGGGACAGCCGAACACAGACATCTGTACGCGTCTGATCAAAACACACTCTTACTCACATCGCTGTCACACTTGTCTTCCTCTCTCTGCTTCTCCCCCTCACTCTGACACACAAACAGTCTAAGGGGAATAAAAACTCAAAAACAAATCACTGGCACTTTCATGACAACAATGTGTATATGTATGAGATGCACTTCCCTGTGTCTTTTTCAGTTAGGCTGCATACATAATGAATCTTTACTCAAAGAGGGCTTGATCTGTTTGCTTGTAATGTGTGAGAATAACACACTGAAAAGGCATTTTGATGATTGAAATATTTCTAAAAATAATTATGTTTGCTCCTGAATAAAATCTCTGTCATCATATAAATTTGTTCCAACACAACACTGGAAAACCAAATTAAGTCTGACATTTGACCAAATTTCACTATTGTACATTTACTTTATCTTCTACAGTGCCATGTACATTTCTGTAGCAATATTTGCCCAAAGATGTTCTGTATCTGTTGATGCTCTTAAAAAAACAAAAAAAAAACCAACTCTCCAGATGGTCAGCACTGACTGCTCTACAGACCTGAGCAGGGAGGCTGGTTATAGCTGCCTTTAGCCACTACTCTCAGGTCAAGGTTTATGTGAGCTCCCTGGTGGTACGTGCGGGTGTGGAGGAAGCAGAACTGATAAGAGCCTAAGGGCAGGTTTTACACAGAGCTGTAAAGGTCAAGGGGATCGTACAACAGTCTGGCCTGTAGAGGAGACAGCAGGCACATGTAGTCTCCTCCGTCTCTTGTTTCTGTCTTGTATTACAGCTGCAGTTACAGTTGTCATTTTCAGGTAATTTAAAGATCTATGAAGAGATAATTTTGTGACTTACATGAAAGATATTCCTACCTTATGAGCTCGCAAGGGGAGGCTGCTATTAGTTGAGTAGCAATGGATACACTCTGTTCGTCCAAATTAAATTGTGGTGTGGGGTTCTGACACTGGCTAGAAATATTGTCCACCCACAGAAGGATATAAATAGAAAGCTTAGGAATGATAAACAAATGTAATGTCCCCAGCAAGCTCAGCAATGTATTTGCCTCTCTCATCCCTCTTGGATTCTTTGGAAAGCAATTACAGATGACCCTGGTAAATAGACATACAGTAAGGGTATTGTGTGCAGTATTCTGACCAGGTACAGAAGAATTTGAGGGTCTGAAGTTGTGGATAAATGCACTCATTAATCTGGGGTGTTACATTCCCAGAGTTATTTTGGAGTTGTTTGGATTTCTGGTGAATCTTGCGTTGAGCTGTATTCTAGTTGAACATGAAACATCCCGTATTGACCTCTTGTTGTCAATGTCTGCCCATTCACAGAGTGGTATGTGAAAAATACACCACTAAACAGGAAAATGGGCCAAGGAATGCGAGGTGCAATGCCAAGAACTGTTTTCTTAGAGATTTTAGTGTGAGCATGGAATTCTAATGGAAAAAGGAAAAAAAAAAAGGAAAAGGATAAAAATGAAGGTTTAACTGAATGATTAATTGTAACTTTTTTTTTTTTTAAGAAAGATTCCATTTAAATGACATGAAAGCGTCGGTTTGATATAAAAAGGACTACGTTGATAATCATTGATCGTGTTCATCATGCATCTGTTCACCATTTATTGACTTTGGCTTTGCTAATATTGTTTTCAGTCAAACGGCATGCTTGTGGTCTCCCAGTGATCTTCTTTGACCTCAACTGCGTGTGGGGATTCAGGTTCCCATCTAACATGAGCGCAGCCTGTTCTTTTGAACATAATAGGGCTGATACGATTAAGCAATTATCATTCAAGTCCAAAAAGTAGGTACTGTTTCACAAGGACGCAGGCAGCACTGTAGGATGCTTCCTTTTAAAAAATAGTCTTTGAGGCTGTTTCAAGTCCATGTTGGCTCTTCATCAGATACCTGCCTCTGTACCTGATGAAGAGCCAACATGGGCTTGAAATGTACTCTAGCTTAATCAATTAAAGGAAATGTTCTTCAGTGTTGCGGTCCTTGTGATACATTAACTATTTTGATTGAATTTTGATTAATCGTAAGTAAACATAATTTATTAAGGGATTGCTATTATCACTACATTATGAACCATATATTTACAACAGTACAATTGCATTATGATGCATTAGTCTCTTCTTCCTTGCTGACTTTGCGTGTCTCTCCCTCTCTGCCTCCATTGATCCATTAATGCTGTAGTTAAACTACAAAGGCCGCTGTAATTGTGCTTCTGTACATATGTTTGTATATACTTTACATTCTCACACATGTGTCGGATTTGTGCAGAGCAGGAACACAGAAGCGCTGTTGATTTTCTATGCTTGCATAGCTCAAAAATCAATAACGCAAAAAGGCCAACATCAGTCAAGAGACACTTCCGATAGGATTCTATCAGCAGTTTTGAAGCATTCATTGAAACAAATGTTTACTCAAGCACATTAGCTGAGCATTACAGGCTACACTCTTGCTCGCTGTACAAATCCAAGATTTATTCTAAAGATTTCACATGGTGTGCAAATAATCCTCCAAACGGTTGCGGAACAGAGCAGATCAGAGCACACACACACACACACACACACACACACACACACACACACACACACACACACCCTCCTCTGATATCATTTTGTTGATAAATCTGTCATTTGGTATCAAAGGTAAAATACATGTTTGGGATTCCCTGTATCATACACTTCTTTCTCCCAATTGTATAAGTATAGTGAAACAATTTCCCAATGTTAGATAAGTTTAGAGTATATTTCTATGGCTTCTTTAGTTTAATCTCTAGCAGGAAATGCTTATCTAGACTCTTGCTGGAGAATATAAAAACAGCCCCTGGATGTCTGCATTTTAAAATCCCTAGTGTGCATGGTTAGCCTTTTAAATTTCACTATTTTAATTATAAATGCATATTCCTGGAATATCTATGTGCTAGGTTATGAGCTTGGATTTTGGGTGCGTGCATGTATGCGTGTGTTTGTGGTATTAATGCTGTCTGGCACTTTTAAAAGAATCCCAAGGTGACATTTCTTTTGAACGAAGTGTGCAAAAGTCCGGCAGCATCCCTGCGTGTGTGTGCGGGGAGGTGAGTGTTTGTGCGACAAGGGGTTATCTGAAAAGTCACGGCTGGTTGAGTTTGTCTTTTGTTCTCTGTACACCTCCAGCCAATTAAGAGACAAGACTGACAAATCTGCTCCTCCTCTTTCTCCTCCTTGCCTACCCCTTCTTGTATCCTCCTTTCTTTACCTCCTCTTTGGTGTCTCCTCTTTATCCTCTCTTCCCTTTCTCTTCCTTTTTTCGTACTCTGCTGGGGTTGACTTTCGTACTGAAAATGACCTTCCAGTGATGTGAACTTTTTAACAACATCAAGCCTGCTGCTGCAACAAAGTCACAAACCCAAAAGACTTTTTTTATCCTCCACATTTTCTCAGCCAAGCCTAAATGCACTCTCTTAAGGGTATAAAACCGACAAAGGGACACAAGGTGATGCACATTTTGCAATGAGAATTTCATGAAACCTAAAGTATATTCTTTTCCTTTCTTCTTCGCCGTTCCATTTTCCGCCCTCCCACTGCATTCACGATGTATCAGGAAAGGTGTATTGGGAAAGATACAAGCTTTATTAGACACGCCATGTCGTGGTTTTCCGAAACTGGATTCCAGTTGTGTGGAATTTACATAAATACAGTTTAGGAGAGAGGGAGCGAGGACACAGAGTGTTGATTGAGCTTTCATATGACATTTTGGTTTTGCTACGAAAGCCAACAACGTTAAAAATGGATGAGAAATCATTCATAAGGGCACACTTAAGAGTGAAAGATAAATGAGCAAGGAATGAAATGGGTGTGAAGTGTGAAGGCGAGGGGATGAAAGGTTGTGCTTTAGTCTTTGGTCCATTAAGGCTTTCTAGCAGCTGTTCTGTTTTTACTTTGTCAGTGAATGCTGGGTGTTCCTTTTTTTTTTTTTTCATCTACAGATTGAAAAATGAGAGTTCTAAAGCATTAGTCAGGGGATCTGCATTAGCAGCAGAGCAAAAGAAAAGCTAAAAGCAAGATGGATTGGGGGGTTGAGGGAGGAAATAGATTTGTGAAATGATGCACCCTGGGACAGAGACTTTGACAGAGAAGCATGGAGGTACACTGAGAGGAAAGAGAGAAGCTATAGCATGACAGGTAACTTTAATTTGTGCTGTTTTTGAAAAAGGCTTGCCTCTGTTGTCATGCAGTTACAGATGGTGTGTCACCAAGGTCAAGGTATTCAAATGAGCATTGGTGAGATATGTGTGAGTCTAAGTGCACAGATTTCCCTTTAAAATAACAGCTAACAATAAGGACTTTGGCACTGACTGTCACCCTGGTTGAGGAGAGTACAGGTACTGTTGGAGAAACTTTGTTACATCATTTTGATACATAGTTATCTATACATAGATTATGTTTTATGTTGCAAACAAACCACTCGCAGCTTAATTGGATCGAGTGGGAAACATTTTGAACTTTCACAAAAATTAAGATTCAACATCCAGTCACGTTTGGAATTATTTCTGTTTTTAATCCTCACCCTTATTTCCCTGTCTGCATGTGGAGCATGATAATGACTTCATTATTTTGCCATTGTTTTAATTATTTTGTTTTTTATTTGGCACATTTAGTGTCACAAACAACAACCTCCAATCTGTATTTAAAAGGTTTTGTTTTTTTTAAACATGCAAATGGTGATGCATTGTGTTTTTGCTATGTGGTTATTATGCTCCATCGTCTGTCTGTGTCTCTATCTGACTGTGTGTGATTCATACCTTCCTTCCATTGCCTTCTGCAGGCAAACAGAGGATCTGTCTGATCATTCTGAACCAGCCTCTGGATAAGGACTACCTACACATCCTCTGGAGTAAAGGTATGTCACATATCATGAACGCAGATCAAACCATCCCCCCTTATATCGCTTAGATCCCGTCTGTTTTGGTTTGCACTGAGCATGTATTCCCCTGTTGTTTTCTGACAGTGCTCTCTAGCCTGTGTGGCCTCTGCTCTGCAAAATCTTAATTGCTGCCATGTCATTGAAAATGCCCCCTCCCTGCCCTCTGCCCACATTTCCTGTGAGATGTGTTTTAATGAAGTTAAATATGACTAAAGATCATTTTTTTTGCAGAAAATAATTTCCCTTAGTGCAAGGATGACTTATTATTTAATTTTTTCAATAACTCCTCTGGCTGAATGACCTGAACATTCATCATAATCCAATGGAAGATAATATTTATTTACTTCCATGGCATTCTCAGCTTAAACATGCAGCATGGTTTTGTTGCCCCTAAGAAACTGACTTTTTTGCTTCATGAATAAATAGCATAATGATTTTTGAATCGGAAATTTCATTTACATTTCTGACACAAGCATGAGCAACAGTGACCAGCAGAAACAGGGTCATTTCCAGATAAACAGGAAATTGATGAGATTGAATAAGAGCTATATTGAAAAGGTCAGTATGCCTTTCATTCATTATTTCCATAGGTTATTATCGTTAGCTGTAAAGCACGGAGTCCTATACTTAACATACCTATACAATTTGCTTTTTTATTATAGATGTTGAATCCTATTGAAAGCACTCTTATTGCAACTGCAAGCTCTCAAGGTAACAAGGATAGCACATCCATTCAGACTCAATCAAGCGTATATTCATACACTATAGATAAATGGTTCTTAAATAATGTGAACACAGTGTGAATGTGAGCCACTTCACCCAGTGCAGGACTGGGTCGATATGAACAAACCCACTGGACCTAAGACCCCCGGATTCAGAAGATGGGCGTTTCAATTATAACAAATTCCTCCTCTCCACCGACAGTGAGCTGTTGCTTACATCTGTGAGACCTCTTGCAGCCTTTCATCAATGAGGGGAAATTGTCTGGTTAGTGCAAGATATGGACAGAGAGGAAATACTAATGCGAGCACATTTGTGTCTCATTGCTGCACAACCCGTATACATATAAAGTCAGAAAAAAAACAAATTTCCGGTGACACAGGGCTCTACATTCATATTCAAACATACAGTACTGGTTTTGCGTAATACAAGCTCACCGAATGGCTTCACTTTATCAGTTTCCAAGTAATAGTCTTGCCCAAGGGCAATTTGGTGATTATTGCTGAAGGGGAAGTCAGTTTCACATCAGCAACCTGCTGGTCACACGTTTGCTGACATGGACCAAGGAACTAGATTCCAACCACGTTTTTGTAGTTGATAAATAGTGAATATAAAATGTGCTTGATTTTCCTTATGCTTTGTGAATACTCCAAGGCCCTTTATCAGTGGAAAAGACAAACAGAAATTCTAAAAAATTCAAAAACATGCACAAAAGGCTCATTGTTAAAAGAGGAAAAATAGTTTTTTGAAGGGAAGTAGCGCTCTAGACTCCCTGAGGTGTCGCTTATGAGATGCGTTGAAGCATAGCGGTTGTGCTACTTGGCTGTGATGTATTAAATATGCAAAGCTGACTTTGAGGCTTTAAACCAGACAGTGTCATCTCAACCTGTACCACACTACTTTGTTTTTCTTTGAAATCATTTGATGTGATCAGTAACAGAGCCTAACTGAACAAGAACAAATTGAACCAAAGTGTGCTGAATTTTTTTAGGCATTTTGTTGTTTTTATCAAGGACAGGGTGGAGAGAAGTGGCCTGGATCGCTGGCTCTCAACAGTTTTGAAGCTGAGACCATGAAACAACAACAAAAAAAACTCTACAAACACTAAATTATGAACAATGTAATACACAGAATTATGCAATCAGGGAAGAAGGTTAGCAAACAAAGTAACTTTGAAGGCAAACTTGTGAACACATCAGATTAAATTTTAATGAACACAGCTTTGACATTCTTATCAACGTAGCAAAAACCCAAGAGGCACCTGAGCTCTTTCCACCGCACAGCAGTCACGCAGTTAGATATACACTCTTGATTTTTCGCCTTTATACTAGAGGACCACTAGAAAATGTTTAATGGCGTTAGACAAAGAATTTTCCTCATCTGATTTCATGCCAAAGGTTGCCTGTTGCCCCAAGATAAAGATTATTTGGGTTGTCTATTAAGTGAGAAGAATGGAAAATATAGAGTTTAAAGAAGGAAAATAATATTCATCAAAAGGATTTTGATACCTGTCAAATAAAAAGGGAATGGGTTAATTAATGCTAAATGTAATCAAAGCCTTACACTGTATGCCCAAGATATATTATATTATTTGAAATGGATTTGAACACCCATTTGTAAGTTCTGAGTGCAAACAATATCTAAATTAAAGACAGTTTTTCAATATTCAGCTTAAATTGTCTGTTTCCTACCAGCACAGAGAGATATTAGACTTGTAATAAATTCTTTATGCCCGGCTGACGATCACTAACTCTCAATGGTATTTGGAAATTGATATTTTTCATTTAATATCCTTATTTTTAAATCCAAACTGCCAGACCAGCAAAGTGTAAGTGATCCAGGGATTCCATTTTACACATTCTGGGTCTATTGCATGCCCTTTTGCAGATTTTTTTTTCTTATCACAAATATTTTGTTATCCCCTCCCAATACTTGCCTAGAAATACAGAAACAAGGATCATGAGGCAAGCATTGCATCAAATAATCAAACCAAACAGCTGCAGTCTTTTCCATGAGATAGATGGACATCAGATGTATTTTGACAGTATGATGCAGCTTGAAAGTGTCATTGCAGATTTGGGCATTAGCTCCCTCTTAGATAAGTCTTCTTACAAAAAAAAAAGTTTCAGAGATTTTGGGTGGTTTCTTAAGTGCCACAGGCAATGCTGTGGTGTGGATGTCAGAAATTGGGAAGCTTTCTTGATCAGTTTGGCTCTTGGCAGCATTGCACATGGGACTTGAAGAAGTTTTGACAGGATGATGATGGTGCGTGAATGGCAGATCTCAGATCTCTCGCAGTGTGATGGTAAACAAGCTTGTAGCAAGTTTATCGTTCCTCACTTGATATGCCATGTATTTTTAATGTTGTTTATGGGATAAGCTGATATCGGTGTGCGCATGAGCGTGTCTGAGTGTGTGTCTCTCTCCAGATGATTGTTCACCTGGAAGCATCGTAGCCAGGTCTCCACCCTTGCAGACACTTACACACACACACACACACACACACACACACACACACACACACACACACACACACACACACACACAGACACACACACACATATGCATGCAGCACTCTCAGGTCCTCTGATGTGCTGCCCCTGGGCCCCCCTCATCACCTCTGGGAGAGGTAGAGCAGCAGGGAGCAAAGGAGCGCTGGAAGAGTGCAACACTGATCAAAGGGAAACTCATTTACAGGTGCCGAGTGTGATGTTGTGAAGTGGGATCAAGCTGCTTATCTCACACACGCACCCTCTCACTCATCTAGTCCATCAGTCACCCGCTTGCCCATCTAGTCAGTCACTCACTCACTCGTTCGCTCAATCAGTCACTCATTTACTTACTTAGAGATCCCTCTCTGTGTAACAACACAAACAAGCAAATCAATAAAGTAATCAGTGAAGGCAACTCTCTACAAGACAAAGAAACAGGCCTGTGTTTACCAGAAGTGCCTCGTTTCATCATTTGTTGATGGGGAGCAGCTTGCTGAAGTTGAAGTTTATGAACATCACCTGTCAGACAGTTGAGTACCAGCATTGCAATCAAGGCTGTTTGGGTGATGTGGCTGAAATGCATTGCCGTGCACACACACACACACACACACACACACACACACACACACACACACACACACACACACACACACACACACTTCCTGCCCACATGTCAGGTAGAGTAAATGGGTATGAGGAGAATTTGTTGAGGGAAGCTATTATCGAGGATTGATGGATTGAGATCAAAAGAAAGCTGGAAAGCAAACTCTTGTAGGACTGTCAATGGGAAGGAAAGGAGAATGAGCGGAAGAGCTGTTGAAATTGAGCCACCTAGAATAACAAAGAGAAGGATAGAGCAGAGGAATAAAGAGTAGAGTGGAGCTAGAGAGAAAGAAAATGAGATGTTTGCGCAGGAAATCAATCAAATTTGAGGCAAGGTGTAGAGAGCAGGGTGGATCTGGAGACAGGGTGACAGATGGAGGGGGAGAGGTGGACTGATAGATGAAGCGAGAGCGTCAAGGCATCATAATAAGGATAATAATCTTTTCACCGTTCTCCGTGACCGTTTGCCCTCTCCTGTACTGCGCTAAAGCCTCAACCTGACAGACATTAATCCTCACCACTAACCTCATCAATACTGGCCTGCTATAGAATATACCCCACAGCAAGTGTGTGTGTGTGTGTGTGTGTGTGTGTGTTTCTGCATAAAGTGAACATGCATCTTTTCTGCATCCAACTCAACTGCGAAATAGATGATTAAAAAGCACTGAAATGACAGGTTCAGTAATGTGTGTGGAAGCGCATTATCTCCTGCCCACCATATGTATCTATCATACAGCAGAGTGAGTGACAGGAGGAGTTGGTTCTGAAGCCTGCAGGGAGGGATTATTATGGCTAGTTAATTTACAAGGTCATCTCCCACCGCCTGCTTCTGCTGTCCTCGCTCAGCTCACATCATATCACCGTCAGGCTTCATAAGGCATCTGTGTCTCTGTATGTTTTCTGTAGAGCTTGTTTGTTCAACTCATATGCTCTGAAGAGAAAAGAGATGGAGCTTTTTGCATTCACAATTGTGGCATACTTCAAACAGATGACAATTCATTGTTTTCAGTGGGAGAATGACAGTAATTGTATCTTTTCCGCCTGTGGATGGAGTGCAGATAGAGAGATAATCTTCCTCATGTTCAGCTTTCCCATTTTTGCCATTTACTGTAATGAAGACAAATTGAATGTCCACAGATCTCGAAAGACGGGCAATTTAGAAAGTTTCTCTCACAGTGAAAATAAACTTTTGAACAAACGTTGGCTGTGTGGCTACTTTAACCTGTTAACATGGTCGCCGAAAAATGGTCACCGAAAAAAATAAATAGTAAAAAAATAAAAAAATATGGTTGACTAGTGCAAAGAAGTGTAGTAATGTGCCAACAAAGGCAGCAAGAAAGTTTGCTACTAGCAAGTAAATGGATGTAAACAATGCAGGATTTAAAATATATAAAAAAAATACTATCAAAACAAGCATTGACAAAATATGGTCAAGAAATGCACATAATGAGAAAATTTACAAACGTAACTAGATGATTTTGAAAGATTGTTATGACGTTGGTACTTGAGAGCCATACTTTGTAGACATCAAACCGCTGAGATTTACTGGAGCTGTGTGTGTGTGTGTGTGTGTGTGTGTGTGTGTGTGTGTGTGTGTGTGTGTGTGTGTGTGTGTGTGTGTGCGTGTGTGTGTGTGTGTGTATTTTAATGACATACCATGCAAACAGAGCTGAATAAATGATTGACAGACTGAAGTAACTGTTCTAGAACCCTAAGTCTGAAAATGATTCTGTGTGTGTGTGTGTGTGTGTGTGTGTGTGTGTGTGTGCGCGCAGGTGTAGATACTTATACACAGATAATGACTGATAGCTTTACACTCTGTCATCGCCAGGCTTAAAGAAGAGTTTCTCTGTTTTTCCAGAAGTTGTCATTTGAAAAGTTTCTCAGCCTTTGCACTCAGTCAGAGATAATGAGTCATTTACATTCCAATCCTTTCTTGACGTGAAACATCAACAGCAGGTGGTGGGGTTATGAATAAAAGCACTACCTTGAGTATAAGTGTCTTATTTACATCAATGCAAATGTGTCTACATCTTTCACTTTTCAAGCACTCAAGGCAAGGATAGTTAGATTGAGAAGGATACCCCCCTCTGTTGTAAAAATCATTCTCCTCCATTTAACTCTCCTAATCGAGTGTGCGCATGTGAATTTAGAGTATGTAGGTGTGACACAGTACCCATTGTTGCATGCTAGATTTTAGGGGTCATGCTGATACTAATGTGTTAAGAGTTGTGTGATGTATTGAAATAATGACTGTGGAGATGGCAGTTTAAACTCCTGCACCTACATTTGTTATTACAATGTGCACTTTAGAAAACAGATGTATTTAATTATTATCTGTGATGTGTACAAATCTGTTATAAATAGACCATGAAGTTCGAGGTAGGTAGCCAGAAGGAAGCACTTTATCAGTATTGTCCTAATGATAATCATATATTATATATTATAATGTGATATTCTCTTCTAGGGCCTCCCAGTTAAAGGTACTTACTCCCAGTTAAAGGAATTTTGAGTGGGTCCCTGTTTTGTTAGTATATCATTTGTGCGCACACAAAAATTGTGAACCACACTGATTATGATCATTGTGTACTATTCCACTGATCAACATGGTGGTAATGCGCCAAAGAAACATAGAAATCTCACAGCAAAGGCAGGAATGAAGAAGGTATGATTGATAACATTAAGACTGCACTCCAATAGCGTCCTGCTATTGTGCATGCTGGCTCACTGGCATGGATTACTGGGAAATGTCATGGTTAACTAAGTCTGTTTCACATGCGCCTCTCCAGATATGATTATAGTTAAAATATCTGTAAAAAAGGTTTATTAGAATGATAAAGGTGTAATTTGTCCCACCCTAAAAGACGCAACATAGCTAACAGAAAGAGATGTCAATCAAACAGTCTGTACACACCTCCACAAAGCTGAGAATCTGGCTACAAAACTGAAATGACCTGTATGTCAAAGGTTTGCATAGATTTCATACACTTGGCCAGCGTAGAGAGTTGTGTTGCAGCAAGGTCAAATTTGCAGGATGACCCTGTGATTTTCCCTATAGCCTTTTGCACCGTGAATAATAGTCGCATTGAAATAGACGAGGCACTGTATTTTTGAATTGGTGCATATGTTGGTGTGAATCTGGCCTCTTTTCCATTTTGTTGGTGTAGTAATAGTCAGCAGTACGTGCCTACCTTTAACAGAGTTCTGACTAAAAGTTTTATAAGATAGCCGCTGCCTGATATGATGCTATGAAGTAAGGCTGTTCTGAAAGCAACACATCTAAACCTGGTCCAAACCAGCGTGAGCAGCATGAAGGTGATAGTGCGGTGTGAGTTTGTAACAAAGTGAAATTCATTTCAAGGGTGAAATTTCATTTCTTTTTGACTTGAAATACTCTTTCCCAGATTGTGTGTGGGGGCTTGTATGCATGTACATGACCACATGTAGTAAACCAGATCATATGTGCAATTGACAGCTGTGACTAGAGATTATTCTTCACACCATATCCTGTTGTGTTACTTTTTTGCACCCAAAAAATGACATGCGCACTCAATGCTGGGGAACGGACAAAGTTGTAGAAAGAAAGCAGACGAGACAGAAAACACGTACATCAGTTGGCCGTCTCTTTGGTGCAGACTTTAGTTAGTTTTAAACAAGGTACAAGTAAACTACATCTCATTCTTTGAAGTTTTTTCCCCTGTGTGCACCACAACAGCCCCAAACAGAAAGGGGCTCTTAAAAAATAGGTTGCCTGTTCAATTTGAATAGAATAGAGGCCATGAAAGAGCATACATTTGCAAATAGTTTGCATCTAATTTAGTGCATTTTCAGTGCCATTTTAGGAATAACAAATAACCGCCTTATTTGTCTGGTTTTAAAATCAGAAAAGATAAGTGCTCTTTCACTTACTTTGCCTTTTAAAGGAAATATTTTAATCAGAATACTTTACTTGACTGTGTAGTGTGCTCTTTGTGTGTCTGTTTACTATGGCAAAGAGGTGGATCCTTTCTAACTAATTTGGAAATCATTCAAACAGTTTAAGTTTTTTGCTGTGATTGAAGGAAATTGTATGAAGTATATTTGTTTAACAATAACCTTGGCATTACTCATGTTGGCGTCCAAACTACTGCTGTGTTCAAACTGCACATTGATGTTTTCATTTTTCTATTAATTTGTTCTTGTGCACTCAGTGCTCTGACAGTCAGATGTATAGCAACAGAATTTGCCCCAAGTGCTTTGTATTGTGTGTCAAGCCAGCAGGATACAGAAGCTGTAGATGAACCCACGAAAACCCCTGGACCCCCTTTGAAAGGAAGCTGCACCACAGGATAAAGAGCAAGCATGCAGTATATTTATCAGAAGTAGCACTAGAAAGATGTCACGTGTGATATGGCTCTCACGAACAGCACACTTTAGTATGCAAGGCCATATCTGAGAATAATTTCTTTGAAAATCCTTGTGTAACGTGCACTCATAAATGGCAGGTCACATTTTCTTAATTCCTTGCTTAACAGTATGTCATATCCAATGCCAAATACTATTCTTGTTTGTATCCAGCTCCTGTGAAACTAATCATAAGTGGTGTTTCATGTCTGGGGTGAGGCTTTCTGAATGTGATGAGTTTTTTGGGAGGGAGAAATGATGTTATTGCAGTGTGTGTGTGTGTGTGTGTGTGTGTGTGTGTGTGTGTGTGTGTGTGTGTGTGTGTGTGTGTGTGTGTGTGTGTGTGTGTGTGTGTGTGTGTGTGTGTGTGTGTGTGTGTGTGTGTGTGTGTGAGAGAGAGAGAGTGTGAGTGAAGAAAATTATGCCAGGTGTGATGCCAGTTAGACCAGACTAAGGTGGTGCACATAGATAGGAAAATACAAATTGACTCAAGAACTGAAAAATCCTAGAGTGAAGTGGACACTTCCACCCTAAGTTAACCTCTGCTTAAGTGGAAACTGGTTTATTGTGACACTAGACATTGTTTATACCAGTTTGAACTGGGTCATGTATAACAGCATATTCGTTTAAAAAAAATGTGTCTTCAGGGAATGTAAGATTTAAAACCACCCGCTTCAGGTACGCACGTTAAAGCATCTCTCTCTCTGTCGTTCTGCAGCTCTCTTGAAGGCATGTGCTGATGGAGCTGCCAATCACCTTTATAACATCACAGCTGAAGATAGAGACAGGTGAGTGTCTTGTGTTCACATTTGCATTAGTTAATTTGTGTCTTCACTTATATGTCTTCCTCTGTGCATGTAGTTGCGGGGTTATGTTTGGGGAAAAAAGTGATAAAATGTAAAAATTGCACACTGTTTAATATCATTATGTTTGTTTTTAAGCAGCAGCAGTTCTGTATTATTGTGCATTTAGTAGCTCTGTGTTTGGTTGCATGTGCATGAGTGTGTGTGTGTGTGTGTGTTCACCCTGTTTATGTATTTGCGTTGTGTGTGTTTCTGACAAAGTACTGTATGTGTGCATTCTACAACCAACATTTTTTCTGTTTGTGGCTAATGGAGGACTGCTGTCAGGACAGAGATAGATCTGGGGTCCACTGTGTCCCTGAAGTGTTGAGGCTTTCACATTAACACCCCGAGTGTGAGCAGGAATGTGTATTTTGTCAGGGCGTGAATGTGATGTTGCGTGTCTGTGTTTGTCTGTCGTCGTAACAGCCATTATAAGTTGTAGACATCGGAGGTGAGGACATTCTGCAAAGCGACGTCATTTTGGACCATTCACACCTTTTTCCACTGTGCAAACTTGTTCTTGTCCTTGAGGTTAGGACTTTCTTTTAAATCTGAAATCAGTAAAGCTTTTACTAATAATGTGGTGTTATTATATGTGTATGCTTGTCTGTGCTGATACACAAAAAACTGTTTGGGTCGAACATGTCAAGCTGATGAAGCCAAAACCATTAATTGTAACACCACCACTCCAGGTAATTACTTAATGGTGTACACTTTACCTGATTGGCCAACATTCACTGCAAACCAATAACACTGATATAAAACAACTTCACAAAAGCAGCACTAGTTGCTTCAGTAGCATTTAAAATGTCAAAAGAAAAGTTTGACAAAAAAAGAGAGAGAAAGTCAAGGTTTTGTGCTTTATTGGCCATTTTCAAGTAGCATGATTAAGAAATTACAAAACAATAATATGAGAACTTTTAGTTTGGTATCGTAACAATTTCTATTTTCAAAATAAAAGTAGCCGCGTATCTCTGTCCCTGTGAATTTGAAGATGTTAGACCAGCTGGCAGAGGCATCGTTCATGCTTCTGTCTCTTTGATTGACACAACAGATTCATCTTCTGACCTCCCAGTCTGAGTTCTGTCAGCAGCCTGCACAGTGCAGCTGATAGCCAGGCCTCCCTTTTAGCTCGACCTCTCCTTACTCAAACAGCATCTGTCCCGAAAAGTTATATTCCATTATACAGGGAGGGTGTAGACCGGAGGAACAATAGTGAGGATGGGGAGGACGGCTGGGAAAAAAAGAAGGAAATATTTATGGATGGGGATGTGCAAATCAATCACCAGCAAGTTAAGATGTATTTAACCTAACATTACCATAACTAAAGGACTACAGAGAGTGAGAGGAGGGGAGAAGGGGAGAAGGAGATGCAGGTAATCAATCAAAGCCAAGTTTTATGAGTACTGGCAACACAGACAACAGCAGCACCATATTATCAAGTGGAGGGATGTATAAGAGAGATGAAGGAAAAGAAAACCGAAAGAAAAGATGAACAAAAGTGACAGATTACTTGATAAATATTATTTTGAAACCAAGATAAAGACGTAAAAGATAGCTGAGCAGAGTTGTGCCTGTGCGTGGAACTCTGTGTGTTGTGCATTTAGCATTTTCTGTGCGTGTGTGTGGGTGAACATCATAGGGCTTTCACTTTTTCCCCCAAATTATGTGCGAGTAAAACTGTTACTGGGACATTTTTCCCACTACTGATATCACGGTGAAAAAATATTAAAGGAGGGCTATTTTGTCAGATGCATGCAGAGCTGCTGAGAGGTCACACATCTAAGCTGTAGCTTACACGTCAACTCATCGACTCATGAGAGGATCACCCCCCCCAATAAACTCTTGCAAGTAATGCTGACAAATTGTGCTGTCTCACTGCAGGGGCACATGCTGGCTTTTAATATCCAGTGTTTAAAAAGGAAACCCAGCAAAAGTGCTCCACAGTCTGTGCGCTGACATCAGTTTGACCACATTTACTCCCTTTGGGATGGTAAAGATATAAGTTATGTCACACTGTTCAAGGCATTTCATTTGCCTGTAGGAAAACTGTATGGAGGGCAGGCAATTAAACTCTGTAGTGTCTGTAACCATTTTTAAAGGGTTTCAAAATCAACAGCATTAATAAACGAGGAGACAGGTGTGTATTTGTCCACATCTCTGCTGGTGCATATCCCTCATAAAATAATGAGCATAATAAAGTTTCCGGTCAGCATCTACAGCCTTGCTGCTCTGCCACAAGAACAGAGTGGGTGGACGGCCTCCCACAGTTAAAAGAAAGGTGCCACGTAATTTTCTGTCAAAACAACCTTAATGGTAGTCATTAGGGATGAAGAGAGGAGGGAGCGCGTCAGGCTAAGGCTTTCTGCCTCTCATGATGAGTCAAGTGACAATGATTCGACTTCACTGTATGGGGCATTAGACAACAAGTATTTTGTGTTTTTATCTTCACACAAAATTCAAATGGAACTCAGATCCACTGAAATGCCTTTTTGATTGAAGTGATCTCTCTCAGCATATGTAAAAGTGAGTGGCAGAAAGAAAACGAAAACAGCAGTTTTTCTTTTGGCTGTTTTTCTTAACTGTAATGTATTACATATTCTATTCTTTGCACTTGATCACTATATTCAAGCAGTTACTCACTTATTTTAAATCTGGGTCACTTCTTCTGTTTCCTGGTATTGAATCTCAAGTATACTATTACATACTTGGATAAAATTTCTCCCATAATTATGCCTGTATAAGTGTTTCTCATGCCCTTTCTCTCTTTTCTTTCTCTCATATCTCATTATTCTGAGTCTGCTACTTACTGGTAAGAAGCAGAGAACTAAGCACAAATCCATATCCAGTTAGTGCTGGGACTCTGTCAGTACTAGTTGGAGATCAGGTAAATGTAATTTCTCAACAAGATTGCTGTGAATTTGAAAAGGGAACTGATATAGAATAATGTTTTGTTAAGTTGTAAGTAAAGTTATTGACATCAGTATGTGGCTTTGTAGGCCCATTGCACCAGCTGTACTGAATCTGCCATAACACATTTTCTACTGGTGAGTTCAGACATTATTGATGGTTTCTCCCCTTTTCTTCTTTGGACACACACAAGGGCACCGGCCTATCTACATAAAGTTGTAGACTACTGCTGCTCCATACTGTAGCGTGTTCTATATGTATTATCAGTAAATGATTAAATTCTTTCAGCAGAAATCAGTCAAAGGAATGCACCTCGCTTCTCACATTCACACTCAACTCACAAAATGTATTGCTAAATTATTATTATACACCAAACTTGCGCTAAAATTGCCTTCATGGGGGCTCAATGCTTATTCGCCAGAGCTGGGACCCCCTGGCTCTCCGGCAAATGTAACCCTGTATCTTCTCCGTTTCTAAATGAAAATTCCATTTTGTCTAATTTGTGCATCTAATCAAATCCTCCGAGAGGATAAGAAGTCAAGAGATAGATGAACATGGAGGGGAGCACGGCTGAATATGGGTGGAGGTAATTGTACATAAGCTGAGTTTATAAAATTTGCAGCTGTGTGTGGATTTGTGGGTGTGTTTGTAGTTGCTGAAAGATACAGATTGTGAACGTGTCAGTGTTTGAATAAGCATGTGTATATGTGGAGGAGTTTTTCGGAACGTAGTTGTAGTCAGCATTGTGTATGCATTTTGGTTTGTAGAAGATAATGCTGTCAGCCTCAGCAAATTAAGTTGTCAAGAGGGAAACTTCTTATTTAATAAGACTTAGTGGTAAAGAGATATCTCTGACAGTATCTGTTTCTGTTTGTCTGTCATTCCATGATTTCTCATTCACATCTTACACATTTTTATTCTTTATGTTCACCAGACAGTCCAACATTATACACTAGTATTTAATTAGGCCTGCGTGATGTGCAGATGGGGTCAGCAAAGATTTCTAAGGCTGATATGTTGATATTTGTTTAAAATATTTTTAACAAGACTATAAATTGGTTTGACATCTAAATGTATTGTAATCATTATATGGTTCATTTGAAGCTCCCCTCAAATGTTCTGTAATTAAAGTCGCACAGCTTGGGAACTGTTTAAGTGCTGGCGTATCAAGAATTGCGTGACCTAAAAACAGGGTCACAGGCCAACAATTAAGAGGATTACACTGCAAATTAATCTGGGCAGGGGGTTTGCAAGACTCATAGACCATCTGATGACTGGGGGCTCCTTCCTCCTAATTGCTTTCAGTGGTGTTATAAAGTTTTTAATTTTGCACTCAACATGAATCAAAGCATTATGCTCAGTCATTTTACAATAGTACCTTGTTTGACTCATTGTTCTTTGTCTTTGATTTATTCTTGTGGTAGTTGAGTATAATTTGTATAATAATGTAATCTTACTGCAGTAGGTCTATTGCGTTAGCAGTAACTTCAGTTCTTAATCAAAGTAATTCACTATTACTGATTTTAATTTGTTCTACATTACCATATTATCTTTTGTCAAGAAGCCCATAGCCAAACTAGTTTTCCTCTATTAAGATCAAGTTGTTCTCTCACTACACCTGCTCTGCTGTTACACTCCAGGTGGAGTTTGTCTATGATAGACTGATTGAAAATTCCCCTCTGTGTCTATCGCAATGTTGGAAATTGGCATGCTGAGTTGAGCTGATGAGCATTGGGATCTGGGCCTTATCTTCTAATATGAGGGCTTTGCACTTTTGTTTTAATTATCAATTATTATACATACATTCCATAATTATAATTGTTCATTTTAATATGTATATGTATGTATGTATATAATATGTGAGTCTATCATGGGTTTATTGTATTAAATTTGTAACAAGGTTATAGGCGTCTTGAGTGTGTACTCCTATTAGTGCTTTAGTAATTCTGAGAGTTAATAAAGTAGGTATGCGTGTGTTTTGGGAATGAGGAGTGTGTGGAATTATGACTATGTCTGGTTATTAGTCTGACAGCCTACAAGCATCGGGCTGATTAACTTTGGGATTAGAAACTGTTGGACCACAAATCACTGCATCACTGTTGGATGAACGAATCCAGGTACTACACATACATGTAAATGCTTTAACAATCATACATCCAACCATGGGCAAACAGTTCAGGAGTTTTTTTTATCGTTTATACAGATGAACATAAGCATGTTAGAGACACGTGTACATCAGCATGCAAGCAAGCTCTCGCTCATGTGCCTTGAGGTCTAACTTATTAGAATCTTTGTTGCAGTGGGATAATAAGATCTCTCTTAACACTGATTGGTTGTTTCTCGCCTACGTTTGCAGTACTGCTTTTCTAATGAAACCAGAGAAATATAGACCCCATGCAGCTCACATCTACAAACCAACAAGTTACATTTACAAACCAACAAGTTCTCGGATTTGAATAACAAAATAGGGTATTTGTCAGTGCCTTCCAAAATAACCCATTTGACCCTAACACGACTTGTGACTGCTGGTAGAAGACAGGATGCTGTGGCGTCCAATGCCAAGCAGACACAAATGTATCCCTAAGAGGTTTCACAGGTTTTACAGTTTACACATAAATGCACACACACATAAATTGAATAAACCGAGAGCTATGTCTCTCTCTGACAGGAATGTTCTACTCAGTGTAATTCATTTTCAGTTGTAATCATCTTAATTGCATGTATTAACATGATATTTCTGTCAGGTTTATGCGATTAACAACTGATTTTCTGTATGACTTCATTGTGTGATAGTTCTGGGTTATGTGAATCACAAACCATGGGGGAAAGCAAAAGGCTGGGTGAATTAATATTTTATACCAGTAAACTGCATTTAAATGTTCTTGATTTCATAATCACTTATACAAATAATGTGCATTTACAGTGGCCTTACATAACATAACAAGCGTTCAAACCTAGCAGTCCAGGTTCACTTGTATCCTCCAGCACAGGTGTTCCTGTAAAGATGAAAGTTAACGTACATTCATTTCATGCATACTAACTGCAAAATACTGTCAATGTTAATACATGCTATATTCTCTGGGCTTATTACTTTTCAGTTTTTATTAGAAAATAGGGACTCTATTTTAGTCATTTAAAATGGCTGAAATTTGCATTTATAGTTTGACTGCTTATTGTTATTTTTTGTTATATAGAGGGACTGTGGGGCATAATCAGTTATCAGTTGTCCTCTTCACTTTCTATTATTGGAATATTTTTTTTATGTAGAAACGGTCGTGATCAGCAGCCACATAAAGCAAGAAATGTCCCTGACCATTTTCCCTAAGAGGCTTTTGCGACACTATGTGAGAGGACGGTCATTATTCGCATTACCACAAACAGTTGCACTTGGACAAATGGACGATTATGTTGTGTTACTGATGAGGACGGTCTCCTACAAACACACACAATCAGCCGGTATTGTATAAGTTTTTATATGTGAGTCTAAGTTTGTCTCTGTTACAGTTCTACAGATAGAGTTCGTATCAATGTTCAGAGAGCTGAACGTGTCGGAGTGCTTTGCTTTGTCTTGTTTATGTATATGGCTTGTTAATGATGTCATCCAGAATAATTCCTCCTCTCCTCCTCTGATTGGGAGATGGGAATGATGAGAGGAGTAATCAGAGCCGCATCTCTTCAAGTGATGAAAAGACGAGAAAAAGGAGAAGAGTGTTTTTGTCTTGCTGTGATTCAGGCGATGATGAAAGATAGAGGAAGCGAATAAACAGAACCACATTTAGTTGTAAGTAAGTGGTCATATGGAAGGATGATGTCAGACTTAGTTTGATGGAAACAAGAAAGTATAAGAACTGGGGGAGAGAATGTTGTTTTTTTATCTTAATGAATAGGTTAGATGGAAGGAAGCGGCCTTAATTACATAGAAAAGAAAGTATTGCAGAGCAGAAATGAGATGAGATTGAAAGAGGGTGTAAAGGAGAAGGTAGGTTGGGAAGGAGAGGTGTGGGTTGGCGAGGAAACGGAAAAAAAAAACAGGCAAAGAGGATGCTGAGAGAGGGACACGCAGACAGGCTGATAGACAAACACAGACACACACACACACACACACACACACAAACACAGGCAAAGGTCACACAGCCATCCGCGCCACCCGATACTCAGACAAACTGGCGGTAAAATGCTCTATTTCCCATCCAAATTAAAGTGTCAGTTAATATTAATGTGGAAGTGAAGACTGTCAGACTCACAACACCCAGACACACACACGCAAAAAAGCATTTACGCTCACGCACACAGACACAAATACAGAATTTAGAATCTCGCTTGGTCAATTACTATCAGCCGATGGAGTCATGCACACAGGTCACAAAGGGATGTGTGTGTGTGTGTGTGTGTGTGTGTGTGTGTGTGTGTGTGTGTGTGTGTGTGTGTGTGTGTGTGTGTGTGTGTGTAAAGCTCTGAGAAGGGCCCAGTGTCGTGTCTCGTCCCATCTGTCACATGAAGGTTATTTCTGAATGGAGATGCAATTGTGGCGTGCTGTATTATAAGGAGTTTAAAAGTGTGCATGTGCTTGTGCTTATTTGCAGATTTTTGTGCATATTATATGTGAGTGTGCACATTTTATACTGCCTGTGAGTGTGTTTGTGTGGATGAGGGAAAGTTTTTACCTGGATCACTTTTTGTCCAGCTCAGGTAGTGTTTTTGCTTCATTATCTTTTTGCATGCTTTTGGTCGGTGTGTGTGTGTGTGTTTGTGCGTGTGTCTGTGGGGCAACAGATTGCGTACAATTGCTGTTTTGTTTGTCTTGCTGTATCTTGTTGGTGTAAATGGGAACGCTGAGGAGGGAGGGAATAATCCTTCTGTATCTCTTTCTTCAACCGACCGGAACATCGCTCTCGCCTCTTGCTGGGGAGCACACGCGCAAACACACAACACGCACACACGCACACACTAACACAAACAAACAAACACACCACCCAACCAACCATGAAATCGTAATGTCAGACCTGTTAATGCCTCTAGATAGAGGCAACCGCATCCCTGCGTGGTCCTGCTCTTTACACATAAACACACACACACACACACATAAATGGAATAAACAGAGAGCTATCTGTCTCTCTCTGACAGGAATGTTCTACTCAGTAGTGGCAGGTAGATTTTTGGCTGTTTTTCTGCGATATCTGCAACAGACCTTGTTAATTCTTACACCCTGGGAATGCAGGTTGCTTCAAAACACAGTTGTATTTGGATGAATGAAATACATAGGGAAATTTATATTCAGAATGCAAAGCCTGCACATATATTCCCAAACCTCCTGCCCAGTTTAATTTTCAGTTGTAATCCCTTTTAATTGCATGTATTAACATGGCATTTTGCCAGGTTTACGTAGTTAACAACTAATATTCTGTATTACTTTATTTTGTGTTCATTGTGCCTGTTAAATTCGAGGTTATTTGAGTCAAAAACCACTGGGGAAAGTATTACTGGGTGAATTAATTTCTATGCCACTATCTCGTGATCAGTTAAGTTAAAGTAAATTAATTTCATTGCATACTAAGTGCAAAATACTGTCAACACTGATACATGCTATGTTCTCAGGGAGATTTTCAGTTTTTATTTATTTAAAAATTTGACATGTGAATCATTTTAAAATGGCTGAAATGTATATTTATGAAGTTTGACTGTTTATTGTTGTTTTCTCGTTTTATAGAGGGACTGTGGTGCAGAATCAGCAATCACAATCCCTATTTTACTCTTCACTATCTATTATTGAAAGCATTTTTTGAGCTTTAAACGTGTACGCTCTCATGACCAGCATCTTCCTTCAGCGAAAACACAACATGTTTGGAACGACGGGTCATAAAATCTATAAGAAAATCAGCTTGAACTTCTACACAAATGTATTTTTTAAGACCAGAAACAGTTATGTACACTTTATGATATCGGCCTACAGTATCAGAATTTGGTTGTCAATAGTTGACAGTGTCATTGTTTACATGGACTGGAGCATACGTTTGCATCGTTCACTTTGTCCTCTAACCCATATCAGTAGTCCACATTATACTAAATAAACCCATTTCTAAGATACACACATGGATTATTTGTACTATCCCTTCACCATTTACCTTTTACAGTATACTCCAATGAGTGAGCATGTTTCAAAACATCAAATTACACTGTGACCTGTAGTAATCAAACCAATACTCAGCTCTAATGGAGAATGTAGTCACTCAGTGTAATGGAACAGGTCAATATCAAATGAACACCAGGTACATCATGCTCTGTTTGTTTTGTGTGTGTGTGAGAGGGGGAGAGAGACACATGACTGAATTTGTCATTACTCTATTGTGTTTATGTACTTGTGTTTATTTGGATGTATGCATCATGCATCAAACTATCAAATTTGCTTATATATGCTGCCATGTACGCTTGTGTGTATATATATATATATATATATATGTTTGTGTGTGTGTGTTTTCACATCAATCTATCTATCTCTGCAGTCAGCCGTGTGTGTGTGTGTGTGTGTGTGTGTGTGTGTGTGTGTGTGTGTGTGTGTGTGTGTGTGTGTGTGTGTGTGTGTGTGTGTGTGTGTGTGTGTGGGTGTGGGTGTGGGTGTGTGTGCACGCAAAAGGGGCAGCATCAGTGCCACACGGAATCACCCTGACAGTCTCCATGTCTCTTCGTCTTCCCCCGGCGGCGTCACTTCTCTCCCTCGCTGCACAGATCAAAGAGCTGACACATGCCCCGATGTCCTTTCTCTCCTTCCCTCTTCTATCTCTGCCTCACACTCTCTGTCTCTCTGTCTGTCTTGCGATCGTAACCCTCTCCCTCTGTCACTCATCCTCTCTTTCTATCCTTACATCCAGCTTTCTCCCCGACTATATCAGTGGGGATTTTGATTCCATTACCGCCGAGGTCAAAGCTTTCTTTTCAGACAAGGTGAGTGGAACACAACTTGCACACACTCTCAGAGCTACAGGTGTACAAACAGACACACACACACACACACACACACACACACACACACACACACACACACACACACACACACACACACACACACACACACACAAATAAAAAGCAATAGGACTTTAGGCAGTTTGGACTTAAGAACTCGATGCTTAGCCTAAATCTGGACCCCTTAACCACCTTGACATATAGGCAACCATAGTAGGCAAGACTTTCCCATCTCGTGTCACTGAACAAAGACTTAAAAGTGACACCTTCTATACCAACATTTTCTTGCAGAGCAGTGTTTGACTGCAGTTGGACACCAGTTTGAATTTACTGAAGCATGACTTTGTCTTTAGAATACTGCTGCCTTAAAGCTCCCAATTATATACAAGCAGTTGCTGGGGGGTCAGGTTAGCGGCACATTGTGAAGACCGAAAACAAGGAAAGTAAATCACATGATTGTATGCAGGACTTGTGAATAAGTAAACTTATCTCCTTCATTTCTGAATAATTCCTGGGGTATTCTCAATTACTTAATGAGCTAATAAATGATAAATATTGTTAGAGCAGTGTCCAGGTAATTTATTTCATTGTGGTGACGCAAATACATCTGATCCTGAATATAGGCACATGTTCTCCCAAAATGGCCATCATACTATCTCTGCATTTAGGAAACTGAACCATCAGCAACACGATAAAATGTCAACTCAGCTTGAGTTTGACAAAACATCATGCTTTGTGAGAATAAGCGGTTTTGCAGGGTTACAGAGCTGAGATCAGGCTGCCTAAGTGGATAAGTGACTAACCAGAGTTGACTAAGGTTAAACGGCTTTTATGTTCGAGACTTTACAGGAGTTTCACCTGCACTGAAAAGAACATGCAGACTGAATCATCAAAGCAGGTACAACTGTGCAGCCTGACATGGCTTCAACTCTCAGTGCACTCAAGATGCATTTAGACCCAATCATCAAAAAACACGTCTGGAGGTGGTCGGGGTCACAGTTTACAGGTATAATTCCCTTCCTGCTCATCCACGATCAACTCAAACTTCTTGTTGCCTTATTGTTGAGTTGAGCCTCTCAGGATGCTAATAGTCTAAATGAAATCCATGGCCTTAAACCTCACATCAATCATCTTTAACCTAAACATAAAAAATATAACGTGGTGTTGGATGCACTTGTATAAATCTGTTTGATAGGCGACCAAAAGATGAATTCCCATGTAGAAATATCAAAATCAAAATCTTGTAGTAACAAATAATTACATTAAATTACACTCTGATATGTATAAATATATAAAATGTATATATGTGTATTATTGTTTCTTCTTCAAACTTCTCTCCAGACGTTGCCTCTTCTCCCTGAAAATACCATACTTTTACCCTTTCAGGCCTTTTTCAAATAAATCAAATGATCTGAGAGGGAAAATCCCTCTTCTATTGATGTGCTCCTTAAAACATGCAACCACAAGGTATTATATTTTATGTTAATCTAACACAATAAAGAATACAACAAAAAAATTCTACCATAACTATATATAAACATAGTCTCTGATGACATCCTACGTCATAGTCTCTCCTTCCTGTGTCCCTAACATTGCAACAGACTTTTTCATGACTGAACTCCCCAAGGTCATGAAAAGTAAATGCAAACTCTAATGAAATGTACAAAATGTACTTTTTGTTGTTTATAACAAGCAAAATGTCAAACCAGAACACTTGAGAGATTAAGGACGGCGGTTCAGTAAATAATAAACACAGGTTGGGTGTCACGTAAACACATACACACCTCAGGGGAAAGAAAGTACAGCCCCTGTGTGATCTTTATGTTGTGTGATCAGAACCTCACTGATGCACATAGCTTGAGAATACAGATCCAATACCATGCACACGCGTACACACGCACACACAGAGATATGGGTTGCCTTCAGCTGTGACAACCCCCTTTTCCCTCTCACCCTTTTCCCCTCTCTTTCTAGCTGTATGTAATATTATTCCTTTTTCACAAATATCACACAGGTTACCTAAAAAAATGAGCAATACCTTTTTTTTCCACAAGAGAGAACAGACTTTTATGGTAATGCTTTAGGAGCAGAACAATGGGAAAGTTTGAGGCGTTCCCTCAGAGATTTGTCGGAAACGGTGAATAATTCTGCATAAATGGAAGGGAGAGAACAGAAAAGCATCCGCAAGGGAGGGGGAGAGACAAGGGGAGGCAGGGATGGAGGAATGAGGGAGGAGAGGGGAGGGAGAATGGATGGGATCAAACAGAGCACAGCGAACAAGTTTGTGTGAACTGACTGCACTGTGTGTGTGTGTGTGTGTGTGTGTGTGTGTGTGTGTGTGTGTGTGTGTGTGTGTGTGTGTGTGTGTGTGTGTGTGTGTGTGTTGGGAAGTTGGTGTGTTTTAGGAGGAAAGGGACAGTGTGTGGATAGAGGAGATGGAGAGAGAGGAAGCCAGAGCATGGTTGTTTACCTGGATGCTGTAGTTCAGGGCCACTGACTGGAGCCTCTACATTATTCAGCAACACAGCCCACAGACAGCCAGACAAGACTAAAACACTGATTTATACCTCTCTCCATCTCTCTATCTCTTTCTGTTTTTCTGTGCTCTGTTATCCCCCTATCCCTTATCTCTGCCTGGGTTTTTGTTTCGCTATCTGTGTATGTGTACATCTATCTGATTATGTTTTGTTGCCTGTGTGTGTGTTTCCATTTTTCTTTGTGCGCAGGGTTGCAAGCTGATAGAAACAGCCGACCAGGATCTAACAGACTTCACCAAGTGTCTTGCCATCATGGTTGAGGAAATTCAGAGACAATCGTTACAGGTAAACCTCCACTGCAGACCACACACTGACAGTGACATTTATATTGTTAAAGGAATAATCTGACATTTTGGTAAATACGCTTTTTTGCTGAGAGTTAACTGCAAAGACTCTCATATGTTAAATGTGAAGCTAGAGCTAGGAAACGGTTACACAAGAGCAGAGTGACGCAGCTAGCCTGACTCTGTCTGAAGGTAACAAAATCTTACCAGCAACTCACTAATGAACTCATTATATTTAGTTTGTTTAATGTGCAACAGGGGCTATGTGCTGGACTATTTCTTGGCCTGGAGCAGTGACTTCCTACACGTATCGGTGTCAAGAAATGTTTTAAAGGCTATTGTTACTGTTAGAATCATTAAAATGACTAGCAGTAGTTATAGCAAATGAATAAGTAAAGCTCTCCTGTCCATCAGCCTCTGAGAGTTTAATGCCCCGAAGCAAGGCATTCAGTCCTCAGGTACTTAAGAAGAGCTGTTCAGAGGTCAATAATGTTGGACTGTCGTTGACTGCAGGCAGAGCCGAGGTGTGAATGTGTGTGGGTGTATGAATATGAAACGGTGTGCTGCTGGAAAAACAACATGCATGCTCACTCAACATTCCCTGAAGAAATACGTCTTGAAGAATATCACTGGAATAACATCAGCCACATTTACGCCTACTCGTAAAATGCAAAGTGTAATTGCGGTTTGCCCGATTTAAAATGAAATACTTTACTTTTGTTGTGAAGCATTTCCTAACAACCTGATATCCAAAAACTCCAAAATGAGCTGCCAGCCAGAGCGAAGCCCCGTGCCCAGCCAACTGCTGCAGAGCCAGGCACACAGTGATCTGATCCGGAGATTGCCTCCATTTCCATTCCGAGTCTCAAATGTCAGCTGAATTGCACAGAATGTACATCACATTAGAAATAATATGTAATATAACAAACAGTGTATCTAATTCCAAGAATTTTCAACAAAGAACATTATTTACATGAGCAAAATCATGGTTAATGGTGTTTTCTTTTTCTATGTATCTGTCTATATATCTGTTTTTATCTATCCGTCCCCTTCCTTCTGTCTCTTTCCCCTCCCTCTCACTCTTTCTCTTTATTTTCTCCATTATTAGACTTTTTTAGCAGCATGCTGAGTGTTGCTCCAATCACTGCAGAGTGCCCCAATCACTTCACATCTCTAAGCTGATGAAAGACCATGGAGAAGACTCTTGCAGACACACAAAAATGCACTTCATCTCATACAGTATGCACACGTGTTGCCACATTGTGCATTTTCACTTGTTTTTTTGGTGCCTGGCTTTCAAGAGAAGATATACTTTTGTCCTTCCCTTGCACGGGCCTTTTTTCCCCGGCCTGGCTAATATTTACTCTGCTTTTGAACTGGTTCTGAGTGTTTGTCCGTCTATCTGCCTGCGAGAGATAGGAGCCTGGCAATCAGTTTTTGACGTTCTATAAGAGTTGCTGATGATGACTTTTTTGTTTGTTTACCAGGATTTTTCCACATTTCTTTACCCACTATGACTCTTATTTGAACTTTTATTCCCTTCAACACTTTGTGAATAGGACTAGGTTATACAAAAGCAGAACTTTTATAATGATTTAAAATCATGCATTGTCATCTTCTCCTTTTCCATCCACTTAACCTGTTTAAATGAATTAAACACATAGAAGAAATAATAACGGGGTGATTTGCAGATTACAGAGCATTGTGCTCCTGTTTGGGCTGTTTAAGATTCAACATCTTAGCCCCTGAATATTTTTCTCCACACAGCTTAGCGCTCGATTTAGAGAATTTATCTCAAATTTAGCTGGGTGAAATCCCACAGAATGGTATTGGAGGATTACGGTGGCTGGATGAGTATGTGTTTGTTTGTGTGTGTACATATGTGTGTGTGTGTGTGTGTGTGTGTGTGTGTGTATTTGTGTGTTTACATCTTATTGTGTGTGCATTTGAAAGTATGTGTATGTGTATATCTATATTCTGCATGTGTTTATGAAGGGGTAGTTTGTGCGTGTGTGTGAGCTTTTACCTGTTTACATCTGTTTGTGTACGAACTTGTTGAAGTGTGTGTGTGCATGTGTGTATCCCAATGTCTTGTCTGTTTGTCTTTTCATACCGCTGTCCCAGTTAGCTTATTTCTTCTTGCTTCACTGTTGCAAGCATAAGCAGCACTACTGTTTTCATTTTCTTTTCTCTTTCTCTGGTTATCTGTTCATCATCCCCAATAAATGGATGTGAGTTTTTGTGTTGATCTCAGAGCCAGCGTCTCTCGCTCCGGCTCTCCCAGCCAATCAGGAGAGAGTACGGCCGGATCTGTTGGGCCAGCCTGTTGAATTTTATTCATTCAGTCGTCAGATTCTCCTTGCCATGCTTTGGGTTTTCTTTTTTAGTTTTTAGTAAACAACAACAGGAACGGATAAAAATTCAGACTGGTATATAGAGTTTGATATGCGTAGCGGACACAACAGAAGTGTGATGGGAAGCGGAAGATTGAGCAAGCCAGTGTGTCATTGGACGGTGAAACACAATACACCTTTTTTTTCGCTTGTCATTTCTCCTTGTCCTCTTTCAGCATCCTTTACTTTCTATGAGCTTTTCTGTCCTCTGGAACTGACTGATACTATTCATTGATACTGTTCACTGTTGGTTTGATCCCTCCACCCCTCTCTTATTTCTCCCTCTGGTAGGAGCTTTGGTCCTGTCGGGCATTCTTGTGTATAAAAATCAGCAAGAAGATAGGATATATTTCTTTTTAGTTATTCTTAATGCCGGTAGGATTCTGTTGGATTCCCCTTGAAATGAGGTGGTGGAAACACTACTGCTTTTGTCCACAGGGGCCGCCAGAATGAACTAAAAATCAAAGTTCCTTGTTACTGCTTTAAAGGATGAATTACACAGTTTTCTGTATTTCAATTTTTCACATTTTGATTGTGAAAATCTATTTTCATTTCTGAAAAATGTAAATAAAAGTATAAATATATATATTTAATTAAATAACCTTGTATCCTTGTATCCTTGTGCCACATGTTAAACTAGGTGACACGGCCCTGGTCCTGTGAATACTTACTCGGACACCACATGTGTATTGATCTGTTGCGGAAAATGGTTCCCAACAAATTCACTATTTAGCCTACTCCTGTTACGATTGCCAAAAACTAAAGTGCCCAGCTGTTTAAGGAAATAATCCTTTTTAACAAGATTTTTGTGACCTGCTTTTAAAGATTTATGCCTTTTGATGTAATGAATGAGCTTCGGGCTAAAAGCCACAGATGGCACAGAAGTCAGGGTTAAAAGAAACAGACTGTTGGTTTTGGTCTTTTCTGGAGATTTGCTGACACTAAGTAAAAAAAATAAAGAAAAAAAACCCAGCCCTTTCGGTGTAATACCAGGTTCAGATAGGACACATTTGGAAAGATTGAATCTCTGTGTAGGTCAATGCAGCGAGTTTTAGATTTGTTTATTATTTTGTAATTTCAATTAAATTAGAGGAAAGTATTTGACAACAAGATTAACCTTTTTTTCTACTTTATAACCTCTCTCTCTCTCTCTCTCTCTCTCTCTCTCCCTCTCTCTCCCTGCCTCTCTCTCTCTCTCTCTCTCTCTCTCTCTCTCTCTCTCTCTCTCTCTCTCTGTCTCTCTCTCCCTGTCTCTCTCTCCCTGTCTCACAGACGGGAGTTTGTTTACCAAGTGTTGTTTACAGTTTTGGCGAAGCCTCTGCATGCTGCATGTGGGGGCGTCAGCCAGATGTTGAAATAACCTCAATCTCAGCGCTCGGTTTTGTTTTCAACTCCCATCACCTGAGGCAGGAAGTTAGTTACATTACATTCAATTCAGTAAATAGTCCGTTCCCATCATGTACAGTAAGGAGCCACACCACAAGTTTAATCTGAGCTCTTTCAGCCTGAGGGAACTGTTATTAGTTAATAGTAAGGGCAGATTGCTGAAGTAGTAAAGGGGGAATGAATATACATTTCAGCTATATGCTATAGGACTCTGCAGGAGTTTCCTGTGCTGTAATTTATTAGACGAAGTTTATGCATACACTTACACACAGAAAAAAACACTCACACATCTGCAAAGTTAATAGAAAATAATTTAACCTCTTACTTTCTGTTTGTTTTCTTATTTCTTAGCAAAACATAGTTGAAGGGAAAACATTGAAGTCATGTTTGATTGATGGTATTTGGTTCATTTTCTGTGCGGTTGTGACTGTCAGTCGTCACCCTCTGACAGCGCCTCTGCCCTCCAGACTCTGTTGGGTTTTAGGGCTGTCAGCACTGGTGCTTGAGTGCTCAGGGACTTGATATAAGGATATAACTGCTGAGAGCTGTAAATATTATACTTAAATGTACTGTTGGTGCAAAGTTAAAAAGAACCTTATTTCAGCTCTGAGGCTGCAGGAAATTGTATTAGTTTAATTAATCCACTTAGTTTATTGGATTTGCTGTTAACATGTTCACCTCTTAATTCTAGAGGCTGATGTTTACCCTCATTGTAATAGCCCAAATTCATTCTTTGATCTACCACTGATTGTTTATCTGCCCCCCCATCTCATTTCTCTCTTAAAGCTCTGTGCCCTTGCTGTTTCTTTCCTTTAATGTTTGCTTGTCCCAATGGCATTTGTTGTTGTGCTTGTTTTGTTTCTCTCTGTCTTTGTTTAATGATAAGGCTGGCGATATTCAACATTTTTGTTATTGTCAACAAATCCCATGAAAAGACCAAAGTCAGTAATGCATTAGTCTGTCTCTCGTTACATTCTGGCTTCATGGTAATGAAGGAACAAGTCACACAGTGTTTTTTGAATAGTTTATAGATAACAGAGGACCTCCATGATATAGAAGAATGGGTTGTATCAGATGTTGCACACACAAACAATTCATCCACTGTTTGTTTTTTTGGGTTTTTTTTGTTTGTTGACAGTGAGAAAAATAGAATATCACCAGACTTGTGCTTTAACTTTGCCAAACAGCTTATGTTTTTGGTCCCATTGTTTTGTTTGTTTGTCTGTTAGTTACCAGGACATCTTGAAAACTACTCAACTGATTTCTGCGTAGAACTTTTTTTTGTTTGGTTTCTTTTTTTCCTCTCCTGTCACTTTCCCTCCATTGAAGCAAACAACAGCATCCTGCCAGAGAGCATTCTGTTTGTCTTTCCAGGTGGATGCCATAGTGACACTGGGCGGCCTGGCTGGCAGATTTGACCAGACCATGGCCTCTGTTGAGACCCTCCACCACGCTCTGTCCATGACCCAACTCCCCCTGTTGATCATACAGGGGACAAGCCTGGCATACCTACTCAGACCCGTGAGTGTGTTACGTGGACAAGCCGCTGTGCAATGATTCTGTCCTGTCTGTTGTTTTCTGTTTTCATTTTCAAAGTCAGCTGGTCATTTTCTCACAGGTGTAATGAAATACAACTAAAAGGGAGGTTATACCGCTTATGAAATGATTGCTGCATCTCTTTTTTAGCGCACTTTTCATAAAGCTTAAAGTGGACTTATTATGGCTGTAAAAGACTTCACACACAGGCAGACCCACAGTCTATTTTCGCCACACTAGACTACCATCCTGCCCTCCTGCTCTAACATCCCCTACCCCTTCTAGTCAGCTCTCTCCCAGTCTGTCTCTGTTTTCCTTGCTCTGCTTTCACTTTGATTGGAGTGTTGAACACTTTGTTTCTTTGTTAAGTAAATGGAAAAACACACACACACACACACACACACACACACACACACACACACACACACACACACACTCTCTCACTTCTCTACTCTTTTGGTGCCCCAATTTGCTGTTGTGCATGAGAGACTCTCTTTTGATGCTCCCAAATTGTTTTTCCTCAATGCCAGCCACTTTCTCATGCTCCTCAGTTGATTGAGTTTACAAGTGGGCCGAGCAGCAGCCATTTGGGACACACACTGCCCCCCCCCACACACAATTTTTTTCCCCCTCCTCTGTTGTTTATTTGCAGGAGCTTCAGGACAAACAACCGACTGTCACACTTCTTGATGACACCTTGTAATACGTTAAGTAAACCTTTCTCTCATGCACTCCCTCCGTACTTCTTGTCATTATTCCAAAGGCGCGTTGTCATTTGCTGCTTCATACCTCGACACCTCCAATTAATCTTACTTCAGTGAGGGTAAATTAAGCTCGTTTGTCAACGCGGCTCCAATACGCTAGCGACTGATGAACGCAGACGCCTGTACATGAAGGTGAACGCAACCTTCGAAAGACCCAGTGCTATTTGTTCAAGTTACATCTGTAATTGAAGTGTTTACAACTTTTGCCAAATATCCTCACCGCCCATATTCATGCAATCACAGCTTTGTTACGTGCTTAGTTTCGGGATTAGGTCGTACAATCAATACATATAGAGAGTTCAAGTGCAGTACACGATCGAACACAAACATGCACAAATTAAAACAAGAAATAAATTACTAGTTACTTCCATTTGGCAAATTCGACAAGTAGTGTATGTCACCTGAAAATATAGCTATCCTTGAAGTTACTTATAAATGCAATACTCCATTGAACATGGGCATTGTAGAAAATCAGTGAGACATTCTTCTTCATTCCAGAGTAAATCGCAGTATGAGTATCAGGTACGATCTGATTTATTCAGGATTGTGCCTGTTTGTTTTAGCTTTTGTTTCCCAGATGAGGTGTCAAAGTGTCATTATGCTATCTTTGGGAAATATGCAGAAGTCTTGTGTTTTCTATAGCTGGCTCAGGGCATTGCATAATTCTCATGTCTTTTATTAAATCATGGGTAGGGACACTGCAAGTGCTGCAGGCTTGTTTATTTTGAGTCCCTACACAACAAGAAGATGTTTTAATCAGTCGAGGTCCCAGGGTGACACTAAATTTACTCAATTTGGATCTAAAGAGAAAAAAAGTTCATCTGTTTCGTTGTTTTTTTTTCTCTTGCTGCTCTATGGCGTCTCGGTCGGAGGGCCAAGCAAAGCCATATTTACTTAAGTAAAGCACCTTAAGATACTTGAAAAAACCTGCTCTCTGTGTTGTGGGACAGGAAATGCACAGTGCTGTGTCAGCCCGATCGGTGCTATAAATCATTCTATAAGCGCGCACACTCTAGGTCAAATGTACAAGCTTGTTTTCCTGATGCCCTTTTGAGGAGTGAAACTTGTCAGTACAAGAGCTGATTTAAATGATTAAGTGTGATAGCTGAGGTGTGTTAACTCATCCCAAATTCCGCTGTGCTAAGTTAGCAACAATGTGGCATTCAATTCATATGAATAAATATAGACATAAGGTAAAGGAGTCACCTAGGATGGTCTGTTCTACATAGAAAACCAGCAGCATCTTAACAGAGAGGACCAATTGATGAAGATTGAAGGTATGCTTAATTGTGTTATTAATTACTTTATGTCTTTCTCGCTACAATAAAGAACATAGGAAACATATTACATCTGCTTTGCCAATAAATCCCCCTAAACCCTACACACTGGACCTTTTGTGTACAGCCTTAATAGCCAATAGCCAATATATCTATATGTACTTAATATATTATTTTGCATGGTTTGCTGTGTCTCATACTGTAGTTCTGTAGTGGTGGTGTCTGCCCAAACGGATACCAGGCAACTTTAAAAAATTAAGCTTTCCCTGCAGGAGTTTCATCTTCATCCCTCCTCTTTCCCATGTCTCAGCTTAAAAGTTGCTAATGCTGTTAGCGCTACAAGTAGAAAGAGGTACATTCTAAAACTGAGTGGAGCCTGTCCTGGATATGTGTGTGTTCATATGCAGGTGCACATGCATTTGTTTTTCCTTCTCTCTGTTCTTCATACACTGTCTCACTGACACACTCGCACAAAGAGACTGTGTTTATGTATAGAAAATAACCTCAGGGATGTTTCCTGAACACCAAATGCTCCAAAGCTTAGAATTTCCCCATAATTCCTTCCCTCTGGGTCCGCAGCTCCAGGAAGCCAAACTCTGCTTTAAACATATCACACTTTCAAGATTTCAAACTCTTAATTTAATGTGCCTGTCTCTGATGTTTTTGTGTGTGTCTGTATGATCCTTTTAGATGACAGATCTAAGTTCTAGCCGTCAAAGCTTTTTGTCTTTTTATTTATGCCAGGGTGTATGACAGTTTGAGCATTTTTTTAATATATCTGTATTTATTTATTTCACATAAATGCTGCTGTGACAAGGGAATTTCCATGTTGTGGGATTAATAAAGTAATAAAGTAATACAAACAAAATACATGGCACTTGTAGACTGCAGACAGTGTTCATGGTACACAATTATCAAACTTCAGGTATTTTTGGTTTCCTGCAGAAGCAAGGTTTCCATACCAAACAAATGTATATGTGCTCTAATGAGATTTAGATGTTTCTTTGTCTCTTTTCTACACACTGTGAATGAGAGAAACTTTGTTTTGACCTTTTTACATTTCAGCATCACGCTTTATTGTAACCAGTGCATTCAGAGCAAAGTCATTATTCAGCCTCAAGAGTTTGACACTACCTTGCACCTATACTCGGTGATGCTTGCTTTTTTTCTCCAAGCCCTAGTTTCTCAAAGAGATACTGTGACATTTTGAAATTTTGTTCATGTTTATTTTCTTTGTAGAGCACTTAATAAAAATTCTTCACTGTATCTCAAAAACATTTCTTGATCTGTCTCCAAGACTTCTTAACACTGTCAACTATACTCCCCCATCATTGAGATACTGTTATTTCTAAGCTAATAGTACATTATAGTATACACTGTTCATTGACCCCAAGTGAAGTAGAACAGTACAGCCTGTGTCTGTAGTGTTCAAGTGAAAAGCTGGTTGTTCTTACAGTTATAGGGTGTCAGTACAAAAATGTTTTGACACCCTGTGACACACAGTAAAATAGACTATAATTCAAAATGGCAAGGTATCCTTTTTAAGTGTGGGTAGGAACTGAAAATAGGTTGCAAAATTGACAAGAGCAATAATTTATTTTAATGAGCCTTGTTCCCAGGGCGGGGGAGCACAGTTTCTCATTTGGGGCTGGAAAAGTTTAAGAAGTCTTGCTCGAATTTGTTTTTCGTTTTACATTTTTTATTCTTTTGATCTCATTGTTTCCACCTGTCATTGTCTCTGGGATACATGCACACAGACATGCATGTAAATACTCATTCATTTTCACACTCATGTTGTGTGTCAGCAGGGCAGCCACAGACTGGGGGTGAACACAGGCCTGGAAGGGGACTGGTGCAGCCTCATTCCAGTAGGTGGACCCTGCCAAACAATCACCACTGGGCTCAAATGGAACCTGAGTGAGTCCCCTTTTTTATTTTTAGCGTCTGAATGATGCCCCACAAGCAATAATTAGTCCAACTTTCCTTATCACTAAACTTGGTAATAGCCAATTTGTTTTGTTCATATAAAAACAACATATGCAAATTAAGTGTGAAAGTCCATTTTTAAACTTGGAAACTGTAAGTGTAAACTATCATGTTCATAACATTTGATCATTAGCATGATCAGTGCCTCTAAAATTATCCCACAGTATAAGGCAACATGTTCCACTACATTTGTGTGCATGTTTCATTCACAAAAATGTCACCAAACACTACATGAGAATTACAACTAGTGGTTCTGTGCTGAAATGTGCCAATAAAAAGTAGTCAATTTCAGATGTCAGTAAATTGTAAAATCATGGTAAAGATAATATGGTAAACAGAATATAAATTTTGTATTTGTAGTTTTTTTTTCCCTGGAGAGAAGCAGACTATAAGCCCATGTCTCGTATGACAGGTCTGAACCACTTGTGAATTTCGTTGGTACTGACGAGAATCTTTAGCGCCACCAGTCTTTACAAGTTTGGAAGATTGGTGGTGATATGTAGCCTGAGGAGTGTTTCAGAAGAGAAAAGGAGAGGACATTCTTGGTATTCTGGCAGAGAAGATGGTAGACCAGTCTGCTGATATCACAGGGGAATTTAACATCAAATGATGAGAAAAGAGCAACTCCCTTCCCCACACATAACCATTATCTGCCAATACTGCAAACTTAAATTTGCATTCACAGTGGAAACAACATCCACATAACCTCAACATGCATAATACAATACAGTAAAGTACAGATCCTTAATTTGCATCAGTCAAATGAAGCTGCAGTATAAACAAGTTACATGTATTGAAGACACATATGCCTCAATGAGCTTTTTATATTCTTGAATATTGTGTGAAAATCCAATCAGACACCCGTCTGAGGACCCCTGTGGTCTTACCACACTCTAAGCCTTACGGCCAGCTGTGTTCTTAATGAGTTGGCACAGACCAAACTGCCACCAGGACGAGGGAAACCTGGACCTTCTGTCAGTGGGGTTGCATAAAGTGTCTGCTTCTTGGTGGGTGTCCACTCTCAGGGTCTGTTTGTGCATGTGTTTATGTTTCTGGGAGTCTATACACTTGAGCGAGCACACTTGTGTGTCCGTGCTTGTTTGAACATGTCTGTATGCATGTTTGACTATGTGAGTATGTGCGCCTTCAACCCTGTTCATTAACTTGCTTTTTGTGTGTGTGTGTGTGTGTGTGTGTGTGTGTGTTTTTTTGATCAGCTACTGTGTGTTGTATATTTACTCAGCACACCTGTGAGATGGCCTTCTGAATGGTAATGAGAGGGACTTTATACATGAGAGTCCTATGCAGATTAGCCAGTGATAACAAGATGCCTAATTAATCACATGCATATTTAGAAGGCTGGAAGTAATGATTTCCCGTTGGGGTTGGGAGGAAGGACCAGAATATGTAACAAAAATTAGGAATATCATTTTTTTCCTCGTATGTTTGAGTGTTCATATAACAACACTGCATCTTGTTGTACCATCTTTCATTGATTTGTGCATTTGTTTTATCCGATTAAACCTGTGTCTGTGTAGGGTTTTCAATTCAACTTCCTCAGGGGCCCAAATCAGCTCAGTGCACTAGCAATACTCTTGGGTGACACCAAGACTCTTTAGAAGTCCATTGAAACGATCCCCCACACTTGGGTTCAAAGCATGTCTGTGATGAAAAATATATGATCTTTCTATAAAGAAAGACTTGGGCTGTCAGCCATTACAGCCTTGCTGGCCCAAAGGAGACATTTTGCTTACATCCAGAGCTTATTTTAAGTTTTGCCTTGAAGAATAAAATTCTGTAATGATTCATATTGTTTTGATCCAGAGTGTAAATTTAGGATGAGTAGTCAGTTATTGAGCAAACTTTTTTTATTTATTTTTTTCTGGTTGTTGTACTCCAGGGGAGTGTGAAGGAAGATCTGAAATACCCTTGGCCCAAGTTAATTATATCATGTGTTATTTTTTTATGTTAGCTGATCAATCATTTATATTGTTGTGAAATTAGATCAGACGCAGTACATATGTGTGCTCACAGAGCTAAGCTTGGGCTCAAAGTGAGAAGATACAGTTTTTGTCTCATTGAATTTTTGTCAGTCTGTCTTGAATTTCTATAATTTATATTTTCTCTGTAAAAGTGTGAAGTGGTTGGTTTTGGAATTAATTGGCAAAGTTCTGAGGCTGAGACAGAAAAGGCCTAATACAATTATTTTTGTGCATAATAGTTGTAAAGCATTACAACAGGATCCTCATTGACAATTTAAACAGTTCCCTTTTAAAGACAAAACAATCTGAAAATGACCAAAATAAATATAAAATACCTTGACATTGATGCTGTATATGGTAATAAGCTGAGATATAAATGTATTAACATATTCTGTGGTATTTATGGTCACTTACTGCAACAAATATCAGTGACATTTACCTTGTTATTATTCATTTAAACATAAAAATGGTCACACAATAAAAGCACAATACATATATTTTAGAATTATACTTATAACTTTTCTTAACATAGAAAATGGGGGAAAAAATCACACAACCACCATAAGTAAAATTACATTAATCTCCCTTATACTGGAGTAGTGGCAGAAGTTTTGCAGTGTATATATATAAAAACCTCAAGAAAATGTTTGGCTAAATATACTAATTTTGTTTAATTGACAGTTTAAGTCTTGAGGGCCTGGCAAAGACACCAGAGTGTGAACTGTACTGGAACCTTGGATCCCATTAGTAGATGCCGCATGGCACATGGAGAAATGAGATACTGCTGGCAGCACAGTCAATACCTGAAGGTCATGGCCGAAACAATCTGTTCACTAACTTATCTAGGCAATAATGGTAGATCAGTTGAGGCCAAAAAATTTACATACATTTGAATCAGACATTTAAATAGAAAAGTAAGTTAGAGGTGATGGTTAGTGGATGTTGATGTTGGAGCTGCCAGTGGAATAGAAACATTAGGAGTCATTAATAACCTAATTTTGCTCAGGTTGGTGCCTCTAATAAGTTTGTCATGATGCTTTCCAGGGCTGTTCCTGTAAGAACAACATACTTGATCATACTTCAGTTTCATTTACTGCCTCTTTTTTGTTAATTCTATATCTTAAAAAGCATGCAACAAATAAGCACTGATGCCTTGCCAATGCAGACTTGCTCGGGAGGTACAATTGTACTTAAAAAAATAATCATTTTGAACTTATAAATAATCATTGTCAAAGTAAATATATAAAACTGTTGATATTGACTTTTGTCATATCACCCAGAAACTGCAATAGAGGTTGAATGCACAGGCTTTGCATAACAAACTCTTCAGAGCCTGCAGCCTTTTGGGCAGTGAGGGGAAAAAAAAGAGATGAGGAAGGGCGGTCTGCAACGTCACCGAGGCAGTGGAGAAAGCTGCTGGATGGCCGTGGCTCAAGAGAGTCTTTGTTGAGACTGCTGTCTAATGAAAGGGACTGCACTGCGGTAATGATACTAAAGCAGGGGAGTGTACTACTAAATAATGAAGTGACTGCAGTGTAGTAAAGGTAACAATGTAGTGTACAGTGTTCTAATGAAGTGGCTGCTATGTGCTAATAGCCATGCAGGAGGGCAGCATACATTCTGTATGGTGTCATTAATTTAATGTGATGAGAAGTGGACCTCTGAGTTGGTGTGAGTCTGGCATGTGTAACACTGCCCTCACTCACATTGTAAGCTGTAGTAAGTCACACTGTCCTTTTTCACTATGTTCTTCCCCTTTACCTTCCAATTTGCTCTCATTCTCATCTTCTCTCACACTTCCACCATCTCTTCCCCCTCATTATTAGATACTGTGACAGCTGAGCTACTTATCACCTTCTGTATGTTACATTAATTTTCAATCACCAGTTCTAAAATCCCCCTAGGACACTGTCAGTAAATACTGTGTGTGTGTGTGTGTGTGTACGCACATATATATTGCCATGCTTTTGCTTGTATCTGTGTGTCCATACGTGACTGAACTTGTATTTGTGCATATTTGTGTATCTTAAAGGGTGGAATGGGTTGTGGGATGTGGACAGTAGCTCAGGGCAATATTCCTTAATGATATTATTTCCCATGAAAGATTTTTAAAATTCATGTTAGTATGTTATGTACACACCATTATACACCACGTCCTTCCACTTATATGTGATAACAAGAAGAATATCTCTATGTGTCATCTAGCCGGGGGAAGACAGTGTGTTATCAGAAAGGACAGAAACACACACAAGAACATAAGCTCAGAAAAAGTATGTGCATAATGTACATGCAAATACTGGGTTTTACTATAAATACATATACATATAGTATATGGACATAGCATTTCTTCTAAGGGGCTCTATATTATTTTCATTCAGCGAATGAGGAAAATTAAGTGGGCTATGGTAATATGGTAATATAGATTTAGCTAATTATACAGATCAATTCCTCAGAATAGCAGTTGGATATAAATATCTTTAATCAGGAAAAGGCCTGATGTTGAACATGACTAACTATCTTTCAATGCAGTGAAAGACACAAACACAAATTCTCAAATAAAAGCTTGTACTAAGATTATTAAAAAAAACATAGTAAACTCAGCATCATGTCCATTTTCATAGTAGTTTTTTATTTGCTTGTTGCTTTTATTTATTCTTTCTTTCTTTTACTGTAAAGCTGCTGCCAATGAAACTCAAAACTTACTGCAAATGTTTCATATTAAAAGCCAGACAGTAGAGGGGGATGGTGTCCAGTAAAGGGCTGGTTCCGACTGCAGTTGAAGTAAATAAATCATAGCTTTTTGAGAATTTACTGTATGTACATATGGTGACTGAAGTTCCCACCAGCCAACCTCTGTAAAGAAATGTGGCAGATCTAATTCTGATACTAACAAATGCTCAAATGTAATGACCAGTGAAACATGGTTGTGACGAAAGACAATGCCCTGCC